AAATGACATGGTACTTGCAGTTAATTCAGCCTGCACAGGTAGTGCAGCTTGTCCAGGTTGGCAAATCCATATTTACCATTGCAACATGGTTTGCTTTCTCTCCCAGTGCAGTATTAAAATTCTAGAGGAGGGCAAGCAGAGTTGTAGAGGGGCATCGACCCAGTTGAACAAGAAGGGACAGGAGGAGCACTATCAGAGCCATAAAAAAAAATTACCTTCAGGAGGCTATGCTGGAGTCTTTATGTTTCTGATCAAATGATGAAGATCAACACCAAAAGTGGCAGATCCCCTACTGATGTACTATTCTCTTCACAGATGAGAGCAGGTTTAAAGTGAGTTCCTGTGACAAGCGTGAAAGGGTTTGAAGATGCCATGGCTACCTACAACATTGGGGCAGTGGGTCAGTGATGGTCTGAGCCCTGTGCCATATGCTTGGAGAATTACACAGACTTCTGCATGGTAGCCACCGGTACCCTGACTGGTATTCAGGTACAGGGATGAAACCCTCAAATTCATAGTAAGACCTTATGCTGGTTCAGTGACACCTGGGTTTCTCTTGGTGTAGAAAAATACCCAACCTCATGTGAACAGAGTGTGTGGCAGTTTCTGCATGACAAGATCTGAGACCTTTGTGATATGTATTGGTGCATTCTCCACCAGTTGTGGAGCTTACTGATATTAGACTGAAGTCTTGGCGGGAATCCCACAGGACACCATATTGTCTCCTCAGGACCATTCCCAGTGGCTCTCAGCAGTGCGTACAGGCTAGTGGGTCCATACGCATTACTGAGAAACTTTATTTGACCGGTTAGATCAGTCTGCGATTTAAATTTTCAACTTTGATTTTTCGTATGATTTCGAATCAAGTCCTCAAAGAGTTGGCGATTTTAGTTCCCACTGACCATATCATTTTCCTCTCAAACTACACAATCAGTAAAGGATTTCAACTTTTTTTCTTTTGCAGCAGCGCATTTGCTCAGCACACTACCGCAGTCTACAGAAAATGAATACTATATCAGTCAATTCATCAAAGTTAGAATAGCTTTCTTTCAGTTTGTCCTACCACATTTAATTTGAACAAATCCTCAAGGCTCTTAAAATTAATCATTTCCCTACTAAAACATTGACTCTTTGATTAAATATTCTCAATAGGTAACATATCGCCTTTATATTTTTACTTACACATTATACCCTCTTAGGAGCTACGCTCATCACGGACAACGAAC